CGGGAAACGTTTCTACACTCCTCTGTCACAGAATGAACAACAGAAAGTTTAGAATCTTAACTGAAACATTAAACAACTGTCATTGTCATGTATTACTTACACAAAGTCATCTGAAGACCTCTTCCTTTTGATTTTACACATCTCACTTAAGAAGGGCCTTTATAATTCAATGATTAATACTCGGATTGTAGAAACCCACATTTCCGTGTACTAGAACGAGTGTCATAAAAGCAAGATAATGACCACCAACCTAAGAGTCCACTCATGCCAACACAGAGTCACCAGAAGAGTCTATTCAATGTGTAACAAACTAGGGAAAATCAAGGATGTCTACTTACATTTGCTGGCTTCTACGCAAATACCAGGAGCACTGGTGGTGTAGTGCCTAAGGCACTTGACTGCTAACCAGAAGGCTGGCGGTTCAAACCCACCAGCCGCTCCTCGGAAGGAAGGTTGGGCAATCTACTTCCGTAGTGATACCGCCTTCAGAAACCCAAGGAGGGGTCGCTCTGAGTCAGGTCCGACTCGACGGCACATACCACCACCACCACCACCACCACCACCACCACCGGTGAGAAGCTTCAGACAGCACTGAGGCTGGCTGTTTAAAGCAGCTGGGGGAGAGGGCTGGGCCGGCTGAGGGCAAGAGCAGGACCACGTCTCACCAAAGCACACTGTGGAAGCTCCCGCTGAGCTGTGAGCTTTGTGGGTGTCATCTTAAGTTCAGTGAACTACACTGTACTTTTCAACATGATGTAAGTCAAATGAGAGATTTACGTTTTTATTAACAACTCAGGTTCCTAATAACAAAACCGTTGAAAGATTAATTAGGAGCCTACTGTTATTTAGCAGTCTATTAAACTTGTACAAAACACAAAAGTAGAAATTCAAGCTCTCTTTCTAAGGAGCTTTGGTGGTGCAGTGATTAAAGCATTCAGCTGCTAACTACAAGGTTGGTGGTTTGAACCCACCAGCCACTCCAAGAGAGAGAGATGAAGCAGTCTGCTTCTGTAAAGAGTTACCCTTGGGAAACCTGTCAGGCCATTCTACTCTGTCCGATAGTGTCGTAATGAGTTGGATTAGACTTGATGGCAGTGAGGTTTTTTTTTTTTCCCCCCTTAAACACAGTAACCAGGAATATGAATCTGTCCATCCATGTTATCTCAACCAGGAGAGTGTTTCTCAAATGTTTACAATATTTAACACATTAGGGGTCTGACAGGACTTAAAAATGTAGTAGGAGTCATTCAGGACCTTCTCCAGATCTAAATCAGCTTTAGAGTGATTTTTGTATCAGTTGAAATGGACCTTCCTCTGTGTCTGAGTTTATATCCATTAAATGGAAGAATTCTCAGCAGGAGCATTCCACATGATCTAGAAGGTTTCTTCCATTGGAAACTGTAAAGCCAAGCACTTCAACACACTCATGGGATGAGTTTCTCCAGCCAAAGAGGGCACTTTAAGTTTGGATTCTAACTCAAGACCATGGAGAACAGTCAGAAATACCAGCTGTAGGCAGAGTGGGAGGATGAGGAGCTGGACTGGGAGGCCCGCTCTCCACACACCTGAGAGCCTCCAGGCAAAAGCATTCCTCACTGGGGCGGGACAGGGTGGGGGAAGCAAGGGGGAGAAAGGTATCTGGAGACCTCAGGCAGGAGCCAACTGGACTCACTGTCCCCAGATTAATTCATGTGGTGCTGTCAGGAAAGCACTAGCACCACCTAAGACCCCATAAAAAGTCAGGGGCTCCCCCTATGAACCCTTACCCCCTCTTCTAACCCAGGACACAGTGTGAGGGGAGGTGCAGATGTGGAACCACAAAGAAAATGCTCCAGTGCCGGGAAAGTCAGGTAAACTGGTGAGAGAGACGGGACAAGCACGGCTGTGGAGGGCCCGTCCCAGCCTCCCCAGCCAGAGCCGCTCCGTCCTCAGGCTCTGGTCAGGAGACTCTGTGAGTCAGCACAGAGCACCAGGGCTCCGGGTGGGAGGAGAACACCCCATGGTGCCAGCTGTGAGAGACCCACGAGGAAGGTGACCCCAGGCCCCCACATATAGAAAAGCCACATACGTACAGAGGAAGGCCCCAGGGACCGTGGAGCAGGGCCTCCCAGGGCTCAGTCCGTCAGCCTGCTTGGTCACCTTTGTTCTTTTAGGAACCACTATCCCACTCTGGTAGCACAGTGCCTAAGGCACCTGACCGCTAACCAGAAGGCTGGCGGTTCAAACTCCTCGGAAGGAAGATTGGGCAATCTACTTCCATAGTGATACCGCCTCGGAAACCCAAGGAGGGGTCGCTATGAGTCAGATCGACTCAATGGCAAACAACAACAACAACATCCCACAACACACAGCTGATCCCCCAACAATTCATAACCAATCTCATCCACTTACAGTCAGAACAACCCAGCTTTCCATGGAACTCACCATTTCCTGCCCCTTCTGGAAGTCTAAGGGAATGTCGCTAAACCCAAGAAGCCACTTCAGGAAGAGAGGGGAGTAGCAGCACAGCACTGGGCAGTCAGGAGGCAAAGGTGGGACGTTTGGTCCACACACCAGTCACAGCAGCTGAAATCCTTCCCTGGGATTTATGGATGTGGAAGATGGTTGCCCGGGGTCCCCAGCTTCCAGGACTGGCCGAGTTCTCCCTGCCCCACACTGCAGACCTGAAATGGAGGAAGGATGGGAGGAGACAGTGGTGAGTGAGCAGCAGTGGCAGGTGTCCGGCTTCCTCCCCGGCCCAGGGCCGTGCTCCACCCTGAGGGCATCTGCCTCCCCAGCACTCGCAGCTCCAGGGCCTCCTCCTTCTGCAATAAGATCACTCAAAAACAAAAACCAAACTCACTACCATCTAGTCAGTTCTGACTCCTAGCGATCCCCATTGGGTTTCTAAGGCAGTAAATCTTTACTTTAACAGAATGCCCAGTCTTCCTCCCGTGGAGTGGCTGGTAGGTTTGAACCGCCAGCCTTCTGGTTAGCAGTCAAATGCCTTGGGCACTACGCCACCAGAGCTCTTGCAACAAGACCACAGATGGAGGAATTCACTGATCCCGGAGACTGAGAAACGAGGAGGCCTGGCCAGGCTGGAAAATGTGACCCCAATTTCCTCCAGTGACTCAGGGCTCCAGTGTGGATGCTGTGGGTTCACCTGTGTAACTCTGTTCCTCACTGAGCAACACCCACACTGCTGTTTGAGATTAACATGGATGAATTTTCAGGAAGAGCCTAGTTTTCAAGTTTTGTCAATGAACTCATCATGGTTCATTCATTGTTAATGACTTGCAGTTAAGAGCTTCCTACTGTGCTTTCCAAAGGAAACCCTCATTTCATTAATGGCCCTGTCAAATGTGATGCGGAGTTTCCTGCTGCTTTTGTGGTAAACATTTCTCTGCTCCCCTTAGCTCTTCTTTCCCCCCTTTGTTCTCACATCGTGACACCACCAGTCCTTCAGCTTCTGAGAATTCGGGGATGATTCCCAAGCACCGCCTTTCAAACTTCGAACCAATCTATCAACAAATAAATCAGAGAATCTGTACATTGTCTCCAGGGAGCATCTCCACCTGTTCCCCTGCTTTCCCACTCCGCTTCCCTGCACACTGGCTCCATTCATTCTCAGTCTCAGCGTAAATATTCCCTCTGTGTTTCTCTCTCGCGGGATCTTGACACCAGCAGGATCTTGACCCTGTCAGCACCATCCTTCCTGCTAGTACTTTCTCTGATTTTTAAGGCACACCCTTACAGACTCAGTTCTAATTCCCAGCATCGAGTAAGGAGCCTCTCAAGCCCCTCCTGAGAGCAACTGAATCAAAATGCCCATCTTTACAAGATCCCTGGTGTGGCCATGGGGACATTCCTGTAGGACAAGCAGTCACCTGAGTCAAGCAGTGAGAGTTCTATCAACAGACCCATCTCCATCGACATTCTAACACCGCATTGATACACAACCAGTCACCATGTCCGGGGCTCCTCACTGCCTCCCCTGACTTGTTCCTGACAGGCTCCTGCCCGCCAGCACTCTACCACGCTTGCCATTCCCACTCTCTGAGCAGCACAGGAACCGCCCAATGCCCGTCAGGGGCTGCGCACGGGCTCAGCGGGCCCAGAATGGTCAGCATGGTTCCACAGAACCTGGAGCGGTTGCCTCCTGCAATCGGCCTCACACAGACCCCCCACCCCTCTGTGTCCTCCCCTTAAATCAGCTCTTTCATCAAGGAGTAGGTCCTCTGCTGCCTCAGGGACTCCCACACTCAGTTTTCCCAACTGAAACCTTCTTTCCAGCTCCACCCACACCACATTGCCATCAGCCCCACGGAACCAGGCACGTAGCTCCATAAAACCAATTTTCTGAATCCACCCTTAAACAACTGTCCTTTTCAAGAAGTCTAACCTGACTTTCAGCTTCTCCAAAAAACCAAACTCACAGCCAGCGAGGTGAGGCTGGCTCATAGCGACGCCCCTGGGTTTCCAAGCCTGTCAATCTGGACACAGGCAGACCGCCTCCTCTTTCTTACGCAGAGCAACTGCTGGTTCGAACCACCAACCTTCTGGTTAGCAGCCAAATGCCGTGACCACGCCAACACCAGAGCTCCTAAGACTCTCGGCTTAGGTGCTTTTATTACAAGTATCAGCATACCCTGGTTTTTTCATTATTTATTTCAAAGTGTCTCCCACGCTAGAGTATAAATCAGTAAGAGCCGTGTGACTGTAGTGTGTTCGCGCGGGTGCGTGCACGCAGGTATGTGGGCGCCCACGCAGGTGTGTATGCGCGTGTGCGTTAGGGAGCGGCGGAAAGTGCGTGTGTCTGAGGCTGGGTTGTAAAAAGAAAAGCAAACACCCGGAGCCTGTGCGTGGACTGAAGGGTGAGCGTGGGGCGTTCAGACTCAGGCTCCGACCCCGTGCGGCAACGCGGCCCCGACTCGGCATTCCTCACCAACTCCCGGTGACCCGGACGCTGCAGGAATGAGAAGCTCACGTTGGCTCAGCGAGGGGTCTCGCGATGTTACCTGTTCCCGCGCTGAGAGACGCAGGTCCGCCCCCGCTGCTCGGCGTCTAGAAGGCGGCTGCGGCCACTGGGCCGGATCGCGGAGGAAGCGCTGGCGTCCTGGCGACAAGCAGACCCGAGGCTCCGGGAGGCCGAGAGACCGAGAGTGCGCAGGAAAGCGGGGGCAGCGCCTCGGACCCGGGACTGGAGCCTGCAGGGCACCGGCCAGGGGGTGAGGACGAGGGGTTACAGAGGAAAACCTCCCTTCCACCGGAGCAAGAGCGCGATCAACGCGGCTGCCCACCAAGGAAGTGCACTTCCGCTTCCTGTATCTGGGACGCTCAGTGAAAGGCTTCCGTGCGGGAACACAGAGCTCTCTAACTCTTGACCGTTGGGTTCAGTGATTCCCATTGTAGGAAATAGGTGGCAGGGGGCTCCTTATTTCCTCTCTAGAGAAAAGCCTAGATTTTCTTCAGTGTGTGTATGAACTGAAACACGCATTCCAGTCATCAGAGAAACCCTTCGGAAGCAGAGAGAGTTAGTATTTGCATTTTGGCCATTTGAAAAAATTTTACCTTGTTCTTTAGAGAAATAATTTATTTCTCTTAAATATTCTCCCGTCTTTACAATTGTTGCAGTCCTAGTTTGACTTCTGTTTCAGGGTTCGTGCAGTGCAGGCGTGAGCCGTGGTGGGAGAGCACCAGGAGTTGTTGTTGGGTGATTCTGACTTGCGGCCAGAACAAAACACTGCCCTGTCCACCCTCCTCACTGTGTCAATCCATCCTGTTTAGATCTTCCTCTTTTTTGCTGAAATCTTACTTTAGCACTATGATGTCTTTCTCCAGGGACTGGTCCCTCCTGATAACATGACCAAAGTACTATGGACAAAGGCTCACCCTCCTCGCCTTTTTTGTTGTTGGTGGTGGTGGTGGTGATTTGGGTGAAATTTTACAGAGCAAATTCACTTTCCATACAGCAGTTCACATACACTTTGTCTCATGACATTAACCACAATTTACCACAATGCAACAGCTCCCCTCCCAACTCCTCTCAATAGTTACCTCTTCCCTGTGTCCATCCCTCCCATGCACTCCTACCCCCTGAGCTGTCTCCCTCTGCACAAACAGCCCTTCTTTCTCCCGTGATTGTTCTCTCCAAGGAGTGTATCTACCTCAGGTAAATGTTCAACTCATATGCCTGTCTTTAGTTTGGCTGGAATCCACAGGTGTGGGTTCAATTCCAGACCTGAAGGGCAGCTAGGGGCCATAGTCTCAGTGGGGTTCCACCAGGCTCTATCAGACCAGCAAACCTGGTCTCCCCCCGTCTTTTTTTTCCCCAAAATGATTTTGAGTTTTGTTCCACATTGTTCTTCCTCTCTATCCAGGATCTCCTACATAGATCCCCCTCTGAGTGGTTGACATTGGTAGCCGGGCACCATCTAGTTCTTCTGGTCTCATTCTTCTATAGTCTGCAGATCGCAAGGTGTACCAGTCACTAGGACTAATTGTTTCCATGAATCTTTGGTTTTCTTCATTCTTCTTTGCTCTGGACAAGGAGAAACCCATCATTGCATCTAAGTGGCTGATTGCAAGCTTTTAAGATCCCAGATGCTACTCACCCAAGTAGGATGTGGAACAATGTTTTTGTAGTATATCATGCCAATTGAGTTTGATGTCCCCTGTGAGCATGGTCCTGAGCCCTGCTTGCTCCCCCAGGGCAGCTGGATGTGTCCAAGAAGCCACCAGAACCTTGTCACTTGTCAGCTCTACTTTACACCTGGACATTCTTACAGTGCATACAAATATGCATGTAGAAGTATTGGCTGCTAACCCTATACGTGGTCGTGGGCACACTCCTCCCTGCATAGATACAGCTGATTGTTTAGCCTGTCCACCTATCTGTCCACCTGTACATCAATTCTTGCCATCACTGACGATGCAATACTATACATGCAAAAGAGTTTGTTGTCTATACCTCCCATGTACCTCACTACGTCATCCTCGTCCTCAATGCCACCGTGCTGATCACTCACATTTGGTACACTGCACTTGCCCTCACCCAAATCAATACTTGTCTCTACCTATCTAGCAGTGTTCCTTTCCACCCCGGCTTGCTGGGATTTTTTTTTTTTTTTTTGTATTTATAGCAGCATGCTGTGGTTTCTAAACAATGTGACGGGTCCTGCGGATGAAAGCTGTTTTGTACAGCAAAGCGTTGTGAGATGGGCTCAGCCAGGGAACCTGCAGAGGTAGGTCACGCAGTGGGTGGGAGGCAGCTGAGCAGATCAGCTCAGTCCACAACCAATGTTCAGCCTACAGCCTGTCCCGTGTTTCCTCCTGGGTGCAACTGGATGGCAAACATGGGCATCTGCTTGATGTTGTTTCTGTTGCATTGAGTCTGACTCACAGTGACCCCACGTGTGCAGAGTAGAGCTGTGGTGCACAGCTTTGCAAGGGGAGATTGCCAGGCCTTTCTTTGGAGGCTTCTCTGTGTGGGTTTGAACTGCCAACTTTTGGGGGAGTATACAGTGCTTATTAATCATATGTGGCACCCAGACACCAACATCTGCTTGTTGTTGTTAGAAGCAAACAAACAAATCCACTGCCACTGAGTTGACTCCCACTCATAGTGATTCTTTGTGTTCAGAGTAGAAATACAGTCCAAGAGTTTTCAGGGCTGTGAGCTTTCAGAAACAGGTCAGCAGGCCTTCCTCCTGAGGCACCTCTGGTAATGCTCAATGGGAAAATATATATAAATAAATATTTTATGGCCCCTAGTTATTATGACCCCTAGTTACTCTTCAGGTCTGGAATGTGTGTGTGTGTGTGTATAAATACATATATATCTATATCTACAGCTATCTCAGACATCTTAACTTGGATTTTAAGTTTTTTTTCTTATCCACAAAACCAAATATTAACCATAAAAAAGCCTTCCCCAGACTGCAAAAGCTTGCCAGAAAGGCCTCTACAATAATGCAGATTTGTCTTATCACACTGACAGGCATTTGAACCGGTTCATTCCAGTTCGAACCCCTGCTGAAAATTTACATTTTCACCCTGAATGGACTGAATCATAATCTACATTTCAATGAGATCCCCAGGGGATTCTGTGTCTGATAAAAGTTGAGGAGCCCTGATTTGCTGTGCTTCTCAGAATTGGTGCCTAAGGTGAGTAGTGAACAACTGAGGTCTTAAAAGCTTGCAAACTGCCATCTAGATTCAACAATGGGTCTCTCATCATCCAGAGCAAAGAGGAATGAAGAAAACCCAAGATACGTGGAAACAGTTTGTCCAAGGGACTAGTGCACAATGCAAACCTCAGCCTGTATGACCCTGAGACCGGAAGAACTAGATAGTGCCCGGCTACCACTGTCAATCACTCAGAAAGGGATCAGTGCAGGAGATCCTGGACACAGTGGGAGAACACTGTGGAACAAAACTCAAAATCTTAAAAAAGACCAGGTTGACTGGTCTGACAGAACCTAGTGAGACCCCCAAGACTATGGCTCCTAGCCTTCAGGTCTGGAATTGAACTTAGTCCTGTGAGTCAGACATTAGACAGGCAGATAGGGTGAACACTTATACCAGGTAGGCACATTCCTTAGAACAATCACACATGGAAGAAAAGAAGGGCAGTATTTGCACAAGGAGTTAGCAGGAAGGGGCAAGAATGCATAGGAAAGAAGGACAGCGAACAGGTAATTACAGGGAGGAGGTGGGAAGAGAGCTGTCACATGGTGGAGAACTGCAGTCTGTGTCATGAAACAAAATGTATGAACGGCTGTATGGAAAACGAATTTGCTCTGTAAGCTTTCACCCAAATCACCATAAACATAATAAATAAATAAATAAGAATTGGCCCCTAACCAGCAGTGCTAGCATCCCCTGGGAACATGTTTGAAAGGCGAGGACTCAGTGGTGCAAAGCATTTCCCTACAAGAACCCACTGTTTTCCTCAGGTGATGTGCACTATTTCATTAAAGGAGGCACAGTGTTCTTTGGAGAATTTCTAAGGTTGCCCCCAGTGAGGTGAGGGCTATATAGCAAGGCAACCTTTATGGAAACCAGATGGTCAGGAGGTTTGCAGGGGCTGGAAGAAGGTTATCCATCATTGATTACCTGATGCTGGCCCAGCAACAACATGGGCCAAAGGGGATATTGGCGTAGCAAACCACACCCCTAGGTAGACGGGTAATATTACAATGACACACACTAAAGGCTGCCACCACCTTTATATCTCTCACTGCAAATGCTTATCCTGTAATCAGATGAAATTGTACGGATAACATGACTGCCCTGGAGTCTATTCTGACCCACAGCGCCCCTAGAGGACAGAGTGGAACTGCACCACAGGGTCTCCAAGCCTGTAATCTTTACAGACCACCCTGCCTTTCTCCTGCTGAGCTTCAGGTGGGTTCAAATGACCGACCTTTTTGGTTAGCAGCTGAATGCTTTAAACAATGCACCACTAGAACTGCTTCTTAGTATAAACACATCCCAAATTTTTCATGAGATATACTTACACTAAAAAATAAAAATAAAAAAAGTCACTGGCTGTGTATCTGAAACACATGTATCTGAGGGCCTTGCATTTTTTCTTTCTGTTGTCCCGGTGATCTGAAACCAGTAGCCAAAATGTTCCAGTTCATACAGTTGATTGTCTCACCACTGACACCTCTTATTTTCATAAATGTTTATTTGGGAATAGCTATAGATTCACACTGTGACACAGTGGTTAAAGTGCTTGGCAGCTATCCTAAAGGTCAGCGGGTCAAACCTGCTAGCCCCTCAGGCAAAGAAAGATGTGATGGTTGGATTCTGTAAAGAGGACAGCCTTGGAGACCCTGTGGTGCAGTTCCACTCTGTCCTCTAGGGGCGCTGTGGGTCAGAATGGACTCCACGGCAGTGGGTGTGGTTTGGGCTTTGCTTCTG